GTCTCTGGAGGGAGGTGCTTCCCCCTGACCCCTGACTGGGCTCAGAATGGGTGGGGCCATCCTGGTCCCAGGGAGCACATCAGTACCCTTCCTCACATGGCCACCCAGTCGGCGCTGGCTGCTTCCTTGAGATGCTGCTTGTGTCCAATGTGGGCACAGGACACTTCACCATCACTGGGTACCTCACCCGAACCCCATCCACACCGCACAGACAGCCTGGGTGGCTGCAGGGTGCATGGGAGGAAAAGCCATCACCACACCATTTCTGCCACGCTCTGGGCTGTCTCTGGGGACGGTGTGCTGTTGGAGAAACAGGCTTTGAGCCTGAGTATTTACCATAAAACACCTCCTCACCCATGTAAACGACCAGACACACACAGACACGTCACGCATGCCTACTGCACGGCTGCTTCCCGTGAACCGGACACCCGGCAGGACAGCAGGACGCCTTCCTCCCTGCCACCCTCATGTGTCCTACCACACCCCTCTGCCCTGCCCTCACCTCCCCCAGGCTGCTGCTCTCTGAGGACGGTGTCCAGGCCCCCTTGGTCCATTGCAGTGGCCCCAACACAGAAGGTGCTTATTAAGTATCTGCTGGCTGGCTGATGGGATGTATTATAGTTTGCTCTTCTTCTAAATATAAAGCTTATACATCACAAAGCTTCTGTTTTTAGAGCTCTTTAGGGTTCAGCATCCCCAGACCTCACAGAAACTGCTCTGAACACTAAGTGGTGAGCGGGAGGTTGCAGTCAGCAGGTGAATGGGATTTAACACAGGGCTGCAGCTCCCCAGGTTAGTTTCTGAAGCCAAACAAGATTCCACCCTCTCACTGCTCTGACCTGTAATGCTTCCCGTGGGCTGGCAAGAGGTGAGGGCAGCGTGCACTTGGGGGGGGCCTGCGCTGCTGCGCACGAGGCTGGGTGGCATGTCAGCGACACCAGGCTGGTCCCTTGACTGGCTCTGAAGGGCTGAGGCAGGAACACAGTGACGGAGACAGCCTCAGCCCCGGGGACCCTGGTCCCGCCTGCCGCAGTGATGCTGAGCTGGAGCAAGTGTGGCTGAGCCATGCCCCCGGAGTGTGAGCTGACCAAGCTCCCTCTGGTTCATCAGAGACGCACGCAAGGCCTTGTCTTAGGGTTCTGGAAACGCTACCCACGACGACATTTGTCATTCACGAATCAACATTGCGAGTCTCTGTTTCCCTCCGAAACTGGTCAGGAACACGTCTGGGATCCTTCCTCCCTGCGGGGTGGGCTATGACTCAGGCAGAGTGCAGAACCTTCCCTGGAACCTGCTGCACACACAGAGGGTGAGTGGGGCAGACACCAGGGGCCTCACGGCCCTCGCCCTCCTCATCGTCAGCTGCTTAGTGCGTCCTGCACAGTGGAAACACGAGACAGTGCCTCTCCCGCCCCACGCGAGTCACCCCGGAGAACTGCTGGCTTCTCATGTTTCCATTTTCTGTCAGTGATGGAAACTACCTCGACAGGTAGCAGGTGCCCAGTCATGTTTGTGGAAAGACTCGTAAGGTTAAAGACGCCGTAATAGCAACCACGGGTCACTTATGCCTATGACGCGCTGGCGCCGTGTGAATGACCTCGTCCAATCCTTATAGCAGGAATATTTCAAGGATGACAGCATGACCCCAACTACAGATGCGGATGCTCCAAGAGGTTAAGGAACATGTTTCAGGTCACACGGTGACAGCGGACAACAGAGCTGATGCTCACTGGGGTGCAGAGGTCCCTGAGCCTGCGCTGCCGGGAAGGAAGACACAGGTCCCCGAGCCTGCGCTGCAGGGAAGGAAGATGCGGGTTCCTTGATGCTTGGGCCGGGGATGGCATCGCCGAGGGCAGAGTCCCAAAGGGCCTTCCCGGAGGGGGCGAAGCTACTGTAGAGGAAGTGCTGGGAAGGAGGAGGGGAGGGCTCTCCAGACCCTGAGGATGGGGTGAGTCCCCCATCTATAACCCTGGCCTCCACCCACGGGGCTGGTGCATATAGGTCAGCATGGCCAGTTCCCCCATCTGTAACCCTGGCCTCCCTGCTCCAGGGCTGGTACCTACAGGTCAGCACGGCCAGTTCCCCCATCTGTAACCCTGGCCTCCCTGCTCCAGGGCTGGTACCTACAGGTCAGCATGGCCAGTTCCCCCATCTGTAACCCTGGCCTCCCTGCTCCAGGGCTGGTACCTACAGGTCAGCACAGCCAGTTCCCCCATCTGTAACCCTGGCCTCCCTGACCCAGTGCCGGTACCTACAGGTCAGCACGGCCAGTTCCCCCATCTGTAACCCTGGCCTCCCTGCTCCAGGGTTGGTACCTACAGGTCAGCACGGCCAGTTCCCCCATCTGTAACCCTGGCCTCCCTGCTCCAGGGCTGGTACCTACAGGTCAGCACAGCCAGTTCCCCCATCTGTAACCCTGGCCTCCCTGACCCAGTGCCGGTACCTACAGGTCAGCACGGCCAGTTCCCCCATCTGTAACCCTGGCCTCCCTGCTCCAGGGCTGGTACCTACAGGTCAGCACAGCCAGTTCCCCCATCTGTAACTCTGGCCTCCCTGACCCAGGGCTGGTACCTACAGGTCAGCACGGCCAGTTCCCCGATCTGTAACCCTGGCCTCCCTGCTCCAGGGCTGGTACCTACAGGTCAGCACGGCCAGTTCCCCCATCTGTAACCCTGGCGTCCCTGCTCCAGGGCTGGTACCTACAGGTCAGCACGGCCAGTTCCCCCATCTGTAACCCTGGCCTCCCTGCTCCAGGGTTGGTACCTACAGGTCAGCACGGCCAGTTCCCCCATCTGTAACCCTGGCCTCCCTGCTCCAGGGCTGGTACCTACAGGTCAGCACAGCCAGTTCCCCCATCTGTAACCCTGGCCTCCCTGACCCAGTGCCGGTACCTACAGGTCAGCACGGCCAGTTCCCCCATCTGTAACGCTGGCCTCCCTGCTCCAGGGCTGGTACCTACAGGTCAGCACAGCCAGTTCCCCCATCTGTAACTCTGGCCTCCCTGACCCAGGGCTGGTACCTACAGGTCAGCACGGCCAGTTCCCCGATCTGTAACCCTGGCCTCCCTGCTCCAGGGCTGGTACCTACAGGTCAGCACGGCCAGTTCCCCCATCTGTAACCCTGGCCTCCCTGCTCCAGGCTGGTACCTACAGGTCAGCATGGCCAGTTCCCCCATCTGTAACCCTGGCCTCCCTGCTCCAGGGCTGGTACCTACAGGTCAGCACAGCCAGTTCCCCCATCGGTAACCCTGGCCTCCCTGACCCAGTGCCGGTACCTACAGGTCAGCACGGCCAGTTCCCCCATCTGTAACCCTGGCCTCCCTGCTCCAGGGTTGGTACCTACAGGTCGCACGGCCAGTTCCCCCATCTGTAACCCTGGCCTCCCTGCTCCAGGGCTGGTACCTACAGGTCAGCACAGCCAGTTCCCCCATCTGTAACCTGGCCTCCCTGACCCAGTGCCGGTACCTACAGGTCAGCACGGCCAGTTCCCCATCTGTAACCCTGGCCTCCCTGCTCCAGGGCTGGTACCTACAGGTCAGCACAGCCAGTTCCCCCATCTGTAACTCTGGCCTCCCTGACCCAGGGCTGGTACCTACAGGTCAGCACGGCCAGTTCCCCCATCTGTAACTCTGGCCTCCCTGCCCCAGGGCTGGTACATACAGGTCAGAATGGCCAGTTCTCCCATCTGTAACCCTGGCCTCCCTGACCCAGTGCTGGTACCTACAGGTCAGCACGGCCAGTTCCCCCATCTGTAACTCTGGCCTCCCTGCTCCAGGGCTGGTACATACAGGTCAGAATGGCCAGTTCTCCCATCTGTAACCCTGGCCTCCCTGACCCAGTGCTGGTACCTACAGGTCAGCACGGCCAGTTCCCCCATCTGTAACTCTGGCCTCCCTGCCCCAGGGCTGGTACATACAGGTCAGAATGGCCAGTTCTCCCATCTGTAACCCTGGCCTCCCTGACCCAGTGCTGGTACCTACAGGTCAGCACAGCCAGTTCCCCCATCTGTAACCCTGGCCTCCCTAACCCAGTGCCGGTACCTACAGGTCAGCACGGTCAGTTCCCCGATCTGTAACCCTGGCCTCCCTGCTCCAGGGCTGGTACCTACAGGTCAGCACAGTCAGTTCCCCGATCTGTAACCCTGGCCTCCCTGCTCTAGGGCTGGTACCTACAGGTCAGCACGGCCAGTTCCCCCATCTGTAACCCTGGCCTCCCTGACCCAGTGCCGGTACCTACAGGTCAGCACGGTCAGTTCCCCGATCTGTAACCCTGGCCTCCCTGCCCCAGGGCTGGTACCTACAGGTCAGCACAGTCAGTTCCCCGATCTGTAACCCTGGCCTCCCTGCTCTAGGGCTGGTACCTACAGGTCAGCACGGCCAGTTCCCCCATCTGTAACCTGGCCTCCCTGACCCAGTGCCGGTACCTACAGGTCAGCACGGCGAGTTCCCCCCGTCTGTAACCCTGGCCTCCCTGCCCCAGGGCTGGTACCTACAGGTCAGCACAGCCAGTTCCCCCATCTGTAACCCTGGCCTCCCTGCCCCAGGGCTGGTACCTACAGGTCAGCACAGCCAGCTCCCCCATCTGTAACTCTGGCCTCCCTGCTCCAGGGCTGGTACCTACAGGTCAGCACGGCCAGTTCCCCATCTGTAACCCTGGCCTCCCTGCTCCAGGGCTGGTACATACAGGTCAGCACGGCCAGTTCCCCCATCTGTAACCTTGGCCTCCCTGCTCCAGGGCTGGTACCTACAGGTCAGCACGGCCAGTTCCCCATCTGTAACCCTGGCCTCCCTGCTCCAGGGCTGGTACATACAGGTCAGCACGGCCAGTTCCCCCATCTGTAACCCTGGCCTCCACCCGTGGGGTTGGTACCTACAGGTCTGCACGGCCAGTTCCCCACTCTGTAACCCTGGCCTCCCTGACCCAGTGGCAGTACCTACAGGTCAGCACAGCCAGTTCCCCCATTTGTAACCCTGGCCTCCCTGCCCTAGGGCTGGTACGTACAGGTCAGCACGGCCAGGGAGCGATTCTTCGGCATGTTCTCTTCCCTCTGGGCCACGAGCGAGCTGTTGGGCTCCGCCTGGTAGGCGCACAGCGCTTCCCCTCCTTCTCCAGCCGGTTCTTGTTCTTCAGGTGGTCCTCCATGTAGGACTGAAAGGGAAACACAGGGTCAGGAGCACGCATGAGTGGGGAGCCCGGAGTGCAGATGCACAGAGGGCAGTAGAGGATTTCCCATGCGCTGCATGGGCTGAGCCTGCCACGCACAAGCCCGGGCCACGACACCCACGCAGACAGGCCTGGGCTGAGCCCCCCGTGTGCACAGGCCCCGGGCCGGGCCACGACATCACTGAATGGGGAGCTCTCCGTGTCCTGTAACGTGTGCTCCGATGCACACTGCACCTGATGCCATGTGACTGCTGAGTAAAATATGCGCATTGTTATGACACATTTTACAGACGTAACTGTAAACTCAGGTGTAGGTGTGTGTTTGGGAATCAGTTTACTGCTGAGATGACAATAATCATACACTTTATTTCAGGGCAGGGAGTTCAGACCAAGCTCTTGGTGGGGCTGTTCCCATTTCTGCCTGCATTGAAGTCACGTTTCTTAAAACAGACACACTTTTCTGAACCCACTGGGTGTGACGCCTTCCAGAGGCTGGGCTGCTCTGATCTGAGCAAAATGGGAAACAGCCTCTGGCATGAAACAAACACACGGACGGAAGCAAATTCTTCAACCCTCGGCTGCTCCGTCTTAACTTTTCTGGCGCTGCTGGTGAGCATGACCACGAGTAGACAAGGAGACAAGGCCTCCTGAAAACCCCCTTCCACAAAGACCGGGTGCCGCCAGCAGTCGCTTCTCATTGATCTGTACGGTTGAGAACTGGCCCTGATTTTAAGGAAGAGCATTGCAAAGGACCAAAGCCAGCTGCACGATCGCACCACAGGACATGATGGCCTTCACTGCTGTCATTCTGAGCACAGATTTGCAAGGTGCTGCGTGTCATGTGTAGACACAGTTTTCCAAGTGTGCCACACAGGAAAATAAAACGTGCACGTGCACACACGGTCCTTTGGTGCAAAGTGGCCATGCACCCCAATGTCAGGCCCGGGGTTCAGGCCCCTCTCACCTTCCACCCGCCCCCGGCACCCCCACATTCCATTCACTGACACCCCCTCCAATTGACCCGAGGAGCTGGGATGGTCCGTCCCTGCCCACTGCTGCCTGTTCCAGGAGAGAGAAAGAGACAAGCAGGGCAGGAGGGCCGGGCAGTGGGTGAGGAGGGAATCTGGGGTCATCGTGCCTTCAGTGAAGTTTTGATCACAGCTGACCTGAACCCCTGCCATGCTGGCCGGGCTCACGCAGGACTGGGTGCACCAGGCATGTGTGCGGTTCATGCGACAGCCCTGCGTCCGGTTGGGTGTGCTGGTGAGGGACAGTTGCTCGGCTCAGGGTGGGCTCTCTGAAGCTGCCTGTTGGGGGGGGTCCCAGGTGGTCACTGTCACCCCCACCATGACCCTGCTTGAGCCAGCTGGGAACAGCAGAGGGGCTCCAGTGCCACGAGAGGCTGCAGCAACTCCACGCGGCCAACGCTTTTCCCACGCCATGCCTTGAGGCTTGGGAGCACACTGTACCAGGAACAGAAGCCCTGGGGCTGCTCGGAGCTGAAGCAAATGAGTTCATCCACTCCCCTCACCAGCCCGGACACCCGGGCAGCCTTGGGGTTCCCCTGTGTGTGGATGAAGCACCCCACAGAGATGCCTCAAGTTATGAAATTAGGCGAAATTCAAATGGCTCAATCTAGAAAATGCGAACTACATACTCTTTCTTTTGAGACAATCGTTTTGGAATTTCAAATCCATATGTTTGTACCAAAGTTACCCTAACAGGAAAAGCAGTTTTCAATGACCTAGTACTTAAGTTTTGTGAAAATACCGACTCGCTCATCTAGCCCAAATCTGGTGTGTGAGGGGACCTGGGAGGTGGGTAGTCACGGGGAAAGTACGTCTCAGTCTGTTTCTGCTTTTCTCAAGGTGGGCTTCTGTAGAGTTCTGCAAATAAATAGGTATACAATGGCTCCTGGCAAGCCGACTCTGCGTCCCAGCTTTCCTTGGGAAAATGCTCTTTTCATAAAATCCATCACAAACAAATGGGCTTCCTTCTATAAAAACATGACGGGTTCTAGAATGATGAACTCTGGCAGTTTTAATCCAATTGAAAATATTGTCTGCAAAAGAGGCACTGGGTATGATCTTAATTCCTACAAACAGCAGCTGCTTAAATTTCCACACTTATCTTAACTAAGGGAAGCAAAGTTATACTCTATGTTCTCTTGAATTTCTAAATTGATGGCAAAAATATAAACTGATACAGCTCTGTTCCGCAAGCTTGGGCGGTAGGAGGGGAAAGAGGTGGATACTGACGTGGTAGTGTTTCACTGAGCATGAAGTCATCTACAGAGTACTTGACTGCATTAAAACTGAGATAATGTCGTCCCAGCACTTGGGAGGCCGAGGTGGGTGGATCACGAGGTCGGGAGATCGAGACCATCCTGGTCAACATGGTGAAACCCCGTCTCTACTAAAAATACAAAACATTAGCTGGGCATGGTGGCGCGTGCCTGTAGTCGCAGCTACTCGGGAGGCTGAGGCAGGAGAATTGCCTGAACCCAGGAGGCGGAGGTTGCAGTGAGCCGAGATCGCGCCATTGCACTCCAGCCTGGGTAACAAGAGCGAAACTCTGTCTCAAAACAAAACAAAAAAAAACTGAGAGACAGCTGCGTCTCTCGGTGTACGCCATGGCAGCGGGCGGTGTCTGTCCCGTTCCGCTTTGTTTCTGTTTGATCTGCTCTGTTTTCTTCTTCTGATGTTTTTTATGAAACATCCTTTGTGATATGAAACTGATGAAGTATCTTCCAACCACATCTCAGGAGTCGTTCTCCTCTTTCATGACTTGTAGGTAAGACGCTTTTCGTCTGTGAGTCTGTGGGGAAGCTAGGCCCTCATGGCAACGTTTTAAACAATGAAAGCAAAACCAAAAGGACCACGGGTGCCTAGTGCAGATGCTCCCCTTCCTAGATAGGTTCTGGCCCCAGAGTTCCTTAAAGTGCATTGAGGCTGGGCGCAGTGGCGCAAGCCTGTAATCCCAGCACGTTGGGAGGCTGAGGCAGGCGAACTGCCTGAGGCCAGGAGTTCAAGACCAGCCTGGCCAACAGGGCGAAACCCTGCCTCTACTAAAATACAAAAATTAATTGGCTGTGGTGGCATGCGCCTGTAATCCCAGCTACTCTGGAGGCTGAAGCACAAGAATCGCTTGAACTTGAGAAGTGGAGGTTGCAGTGAGCCAACATCGTGCCATTGCACACCAGCCTGGGCAACAAGAGCAATACTCTGTCTCAAAAAAAAAAAAACAAAAACAAAGTGCATTGAACACAGGTAACCCGACTCGAGCGTCACAGCTGAGCCTAGCCTGCCTTATACCTATAATCTATACCTAGCCTGCTCAGAATACCTATAATCCTCTGCAGCTGGGCAAAACCATCTCACATGAGCCTGTTGAGGATAAAGTGTGGAGTATGTTATGTGACTCATTGAACACTGAACTGAAAGTGTAACGGCGCGGTTGCACGGGTGTTCCAAGTTCACTTTCTATTTAATGCCAGTTCTTCTGAACCACCATAAAGTCAAACCATTATAAGCGAATTGCTCCTGCACCGTATAGAGTAAAACCATCGTAAATTGGGGGCCGTCTGTACTGTGGGCGTCCGCGTCCTGCGTGTGAACCTGGACAAGTACAGCACCTCTAGTCAGATGTCTTCTGGAATCATCAAGAAGTTAACATGTAATTTAAACGGTACTCATGCCCTTTCCCCGATAGTGGGCATTTAGCTATAGTGTTTTAAAAACTGACATTTAAACAAACAAATCAGTAAGAAAAAAAGCAAACAATCTTATCAAAAAGTGGGCTAAGGGCACGAATAGGGAATTCTCAAAAGAAGATATACGAACGGCCAAGAAACCTATGAAAAAATACTCAACCTCACTAATGAGCAGGAAAATGCAAATCAAAACCGCAATGCGATACCACCTCACTCCTGAGAGAATGGTGTGACCAGAACCTCAAACCGTAGATGCGGGTGCGGACGCGGTGATCAGGGAACACTGCTGCTGGGAATGTGAACCAGTAGGGCTGCCACAGAAAACAGCACAGAGACTCCTCAAAGAACTAAACGTGGAGCTACCGTGTGATCCAGCAGCTCTACTCCCGGCTATCTACCCAGAGGGAAAAAAGTCCTATTCGAAAAAGATACTTGCACACACATGTTTATAGCAGCACAATTCACAATTGCAAAATCATGGAACAAACCCAAATGCTTATAAATTAACGAGTGGATGAAGAAGCTGGTATATACATATGATGGAATACTACACAGCCATTAAAAAGGAATGGATTAACAGCATTTGCAGTGACCTGGGTGAGAATGGAGACTACTATTCTAAGTGAGGTAACTCAGAAATGGAAAAACAAATGTCGTATGTTCTCACTGCTATGTGGGAGCTGAGCTATGAGGATGCAAAGGCGTAAGAATGATCCAACGGACTTTGCGGACTTGGGGGGAAGAGTGGAAGGGGCTGAGATATGGTGCAGTGTGTACTGCTCGGGTGATGGGTGCAAATCACCACTAAAGAACTTACTCAGGTAACCCAATACCACCTGTACCCCAATAACCTATGGAAAAATAAAAAATAAAGAATTAGCTCAGAAAAAGGAAAAGCTGACATTTAAATTCTTTTATTTTACAGACAGTGCATGTGTGAGTGTGGTGGTGGGAGGGCTTAGTCTTTAAGGCACTGCAACTTTGTTACATAAGTATCACATGTAGAAAAGATCAGAAAGTGAAGATAAGCAGAATGGAAACAAAAGCAGAGTCACCCCAGTGCCCACAGCAACTGTAAGGCAGCCGTTCCCCGGGGCGGAGTACCAGGGGTACCATCGTTTCAGCTCTGACGTCCTCAGTATCACAGAATTTACTTCTCTAAAGTGAAAAATGCTGAGATGAGGCTCACATCTTGCAGATAAGGAAACCAAGGCCTAGAGAAGGTGAGCAATTGGCCCCCAAGGCCTCAGCAGCCCGTGGTGGCACCGAAGCC